ATCACAGTTAGGTGTATCATAGCCAGACTGACCAAAACCTGGGAAACTCACCAAATGGAAACAACTCATTACCTACCAGAGAAGATTCTAGTAGGAAGAACATTGGGGAAAGACTGATGGGGAGGTTGTTTTTTGTTCTGCTTTTGTTTTTGTTTTGTTCCAGGGGCTTGAGGGCTGTTCCCAAGCTTTCTTTCCCTCAGGGCTAGTGCTCTACCATTTGAGCCATAGCTCCACTTTCAGCTTTTTGCTGCTATAGTGGAGGAAAGAGTCACACAGACTTTCCTATCTAGGCTGGCTTTGATGTGCGATCCTCAGCTCTCAGCCTCCTGAGTAGCTGGGATTACAGGCGGGAGCCACCAGCGCCCCAGCTTGACAGAGCATTTAGTTGGACACCCGGGGCCCTGGCTGAACCTTTGAGAGCTTGGACCTACCTTTCACTCACATTTCCGCTTTCCCTTCTTTGTCCCTTAAATGGCTCCAGTACCCCAACTTTGTCTTGGTTTCTGCTTCCCAGAGGTCTCAAATAACACAAAGGCTTTAGCTTTATACCATTGTCACAAAGGGAGCTGTTTTTCCCGAGCATGGACTTCGGACTCTTTAAGCTTAGGGGAATGTATATCCATATAATTGTATCTATGCCAAAACTATAAAATTATTACAGCACTGTGATACTTTGGGGATCCAGAGCTGGGAACACCCACAGAAAAGCAGCCCTGTGCCAGGAGAAGAGGCTGGGGTGTCTTTGGTGTTGGTTTTTGTGGGTTTGAACTCCCGACAAGCTTGCCTTTGAACGCTCCCTGCGCCTCCCTCCGTGTCCCCATCTGAGAGACGTGCTGATCACAAGACAGCAGCAAACCTGTCCCCGTGACTGACGTGAAGTAGAAGTCGGCAAACTCACTCACTCGTCGAGTGCCTGGACCTGCAGCCGGTGTGCCAGCTCTGCCGCCGCCGCAGGTCTGAACAACAACCACGTGAGCAATTCCCGCCCGCAGACAACTGAAACCCTCTTCTGGTTTGGTTAAAGCTACCTTGGAAATCTCTTAGCGGAAGTTGAATAAGACAAGTGTCCTTCAAGAAGGAAAACCACGAGCTCAAAAAGATGGATAAGTGTCTCTTCTCAGAGAGAAAGCAGGAAACGCCACCTGAGTACCTGTTAGCCAGTGCTGAGTATTTGATAGCAGCATTTAGTGCTTGATAGCAGCACTGGGTACTTGGTACCAGTGCTGAATACTTGATAGCCAGTGCTGAGTACTTGATAGCAGCACTGAATAATTGATAGACAATGCTGAGTGCCTGATAGCCAGAGTTGAGTACCTGTTAGCCAGTGCTATTTGATAGCAGCACTGGGTACTTGATTCCAGTGCTAAGTACTTGGTAGCCAGCACTGAGTACTTGATAGTCAGCAGTAGTTGGCAGTCAAGGCTCTCTGCTCTGATTGGCAGATCACAGATTAAGCGATTAGGTGGAGTAAGATTAGCTGGATTTAGTAAGCAAAGGTGGGAGCTCTCCAGTCAGAGCGTATTTTGTTCTGGTGGAGTCTCCTTATCTCAAGATCCAGAGATAAACGTTCTCTTAGAGACATATTGTTGTCTTTGCCTCTAGCCTCCTTCCCATTTTCTCTGTCATTTACTTCTCAAACTCTAAACTTTACCTGTTACATCTATCACTTTATGACTTTTCTTTCATGGGTGTTTTGTGGGGGTTTTTTTTGTAGCTGGGGCTTGAACTCAGGACCTCATTCTTAGTAGGTAGGTGTTTCTACTGCTTGAGCCAGGCCTCCAGCCCACTTCATGTCTTTTTTTAAAATTTAATTTAATTCTATTTGTGAACATACTGTACAGAGGGGTTACAATTACATGGGCAGGATAATGCGTACATTTCTTACCAAGCATTGCA